GGGTTTGGCTTTCATTGTGGCAGGCAGCCACACCTGGGTTTGGTTACAGTTCCACCTCCCAAACATGCACACCTAGCACAGGACTCGTGCTCCCTCCCTCCCTCACCTCTGTCATCTTAATCTGTCACATAATTTCCCAATATTAGAATTTGAATCTGAAATGGTTCCTCCATGCTCTTATCTCTCTGGTGACCACAGTTATCTGCCACATTCTTTTGACATCACTTATTCATGTCTGGCATGAGCCTCACTAATTTCTGATTGCATTGTCTGACAGTAAGAGTTCCAGACTATGACTTTTTCTTGTGATAATTCTGCTGGGGGCATTTGATGGGGAGGTCCTCAAGCCTATGTGTCTAGAGGGAGACTGACATTCTTCTTTTCCCTATGCCATCCGCCACTCTGGAGCTGTTTTAGTGTCTACCTATCTTTTCCTGGTGCTTACCATAGGTGCAGACATCCCACACCATGCTGCCATCCCATAAGCTGGTACCAGGAGCACAGACAGTGCCCAAGGTCACAGAATTCCCACTTTCTTTTCCTCATCAGGATTCTTAATTTATAGTCCAGCAGCCAAAGGCATCCTCTTAACCCAGTGGGGAGAGAGTATTAAGGGGCACGTACTTAGTGCTAAACACTGTGTTAAATTTAATTCTCGAAGAGACCTTATGGAGTAGGTGCTGTTTTTTCTTTCTTTTTTTTTTTTTTTAATCCTCACCCAAGGACGTTTTTGCATTTACCTTCAGATAGACAGGGAGGGAGGAAGAGAGAGAGAGAAACATTGATGTGAGAGAGACACATCGATTGGTTGTCACCTACACAACCCCAACCCGGGGTCAAGGACAAACTGTAACCGAGGTACGTGCCCTGAGCGGAAACCGAACCCGGGTCTCTCTGGACCACAGGTCGACGCTCTAACCGCTGAGCCAAACTGGCCAGGGCTGTTTTTTCCGTATTACAGTTGAGGAAACCCAGGCACTAAGGAACTAAGTAAATTGCTCAGGTCACACAGTGTGGAGGGCGGCTGAGCCAAGGTCTCCTGTTCCTGTGGTGTTTGTACCGTCTCGCCCAGGAGCCTTTAGTCCTAAAACCACTTGTTGATCCTGCGTGCAGGCAAGGCCCACGCGGGAACATTCTGCCCAAGGTCTCTTGTTGTTCCTGTGTGCTGGCAAGGCCCACACAGGAGCCTCCTGAGCCGCGGGCAAGAATGTATTGACAGTTTGGACCTTGAGCCCAGAGGCTGATGGACACATTTGGTGATTGAGAACAAAGAAGCTTTTGAACCCGCCGCCCCCCCATTGGCTATATCATAAACTTGCTGAGCTAGTTCGGAGTCACTGTTTCTCCATCAGAGAGCAGTGTCCTACCTGGCCCCAGCTTTTCTCTCTAGAATGTCTCTGTGTTTTCCTTAGTCTCGGTGTTTTTCTCAGTCTCCCATCGCCCCTCCTCAGGTCTGGCTCGACTAGCGTGCAGGTCGCGGCAACACAGCTTGAAAGTGGCAGAGCTGGGATTCAAATCCAGTAGCTTGATGGCAGAACCCACCACGTGCACGCAGTTTTCCCACTCCAGCGCTCTCTCATATCAGCCTTCTCGGGACTGGCCTAGGTCAGCCACTTTGCAGCTTCTTCTGAGGCTCAGTTGACTATATCACCATGGAAACCTTCCACTGCACTCAACTTTCAGCCACCTTCTCCTGTCTCACACTCTGAGCTCCTAACCCACACTGTTGCCGAGGGAGAGTAAGGGGTCTGTTCCCAGTCCTTTGTTGGCCTAATCATGCCTGGCATCAGGCCACCACTTTTATTCAGTTTCAAAGCTTAAAGCCTAACCAGCCAAACACCACTGTTTATTCTGGGTGAATTAGAGAGTGGTTAAGGGCACACTCTGCCTCTCTTACTGGTCAGTGATTTCCCAAGAGGAAGGAAGAGAATCCTATTTCTCTCATTGCTCAGCTGTACCTGGCACATAAGAGACATCCACTAAGTGTGTTGTTAAATAAATGGCTGAATGAACTCCTAATACCCCCCCATTGAGGAAGATTGTGAAAACATCGTGGTCATGAGAATTGACTTTGGACTTGGGCAGACTGGGCTTAAAGCCCATGGTCACTTCCAAGCTGTGATCCTGGGCCAAGTGCTTTCCAGGGTTGGCAAACCTTTTCTGTAACCTGTCAGACAGTAAATACTTTTGACTTTATGGGCCATATGGTCTCTCATATAACTATTCAACTCAGCCCAGTTTGCAAACCCAATCAGGGATAATACCTAAACTAATGGGCATGGTTGTGTTCTCAAAGACCTTTATTTACAAAGCTAGAGAGCAGGCCTGAGGCAGTATGCTGACCCTTGACTTGCTTGTTTGGACAAAAATGGGACCACATACTCAACCTGACAAGCTCAGGGGAGGCCTGCATGTCAGGCCTTACAAACTCAGAGACCAAAAGTACCCACATAGAATGGTTTGATTATAAAAATTCCTAACTAAAAGTGAGTCATGCCCTGGCTGGTTTGGCTCAGCATTTAAGAGTGTTAGCCCACGGATCAATGAGTCTTGGGTTTGATTCCGGTCAGGGGCATATACCTCAGTTGCGGTTCATCCCCAGCCCTGGTCTGGTTGTGTGAGAGACAACCAATCGATGTGTCTCTCTCACATCAATGTTTCTCTTTCTCTCTCTCTCTCCCTCGCTCCCACTCTATCTGAAGATCAATAGGAGAAAAAAAAGCAAGTCATAGCAGTTAGTCAAGTCCTAGGCCTGTAGCTTCCTTGACAAAAATCAATCTTTACCTTAAGTGAGCTTGTCTATTGTCTTTTTGCATTTAAGACAACATATCTTTGGAATGTCCAGTAGTTTCCTTTTTTCAGACTCCCTCAGAGCACAACTTTCCATCAGAGCAGGAGACCACAGAACACCTCATTCTTATCTTGTTGCCCAATTATCATCTCTACATCTCTACGTGCTGTAAATGTTAACTATTCTATAGCCACCAATGTAAAAGAAGTATGTATCTCTGTTTTACTCTTTATCCACTCAGAGACTCACACTGCTCCATCCCGTCCCTCCCCTTTGCTTTCTCCCAACTCCCTAATCGACCACCAATGAATTTCACCTAGCCTGCCTTATGTTTCCTGCTTTGATTCTAAGGTAAAAAATACGTTGTAAAACTGCCATTTTCTCAATCAGTTGAGATTTTGCTTCCTGGCAATTGTGGTCAGTTTGGGTGAAATAAATTTTTATAAGACTTTTTCTCAGGCCGGATGTTCTTTTCTCAACAGCTATATATATAAAAAAGATTATCCCTGACCAGTTTGGCTCAGCTGTTAGGGCATCGCCCGAGGACCAAAGGGTCAAGGGCACGTTCCTGGGTTGCAGGTTTGATCCCTGGCCCCGGCTGTATGGGAGGCAACCAACTGATGTGTCTCTCTCACATTGATGTTTCTCTCTCCCTCTCTCTCTCTCCCTTCTACTCTATCTAAAAATAAATGGAAAAATATCCTCGGGTGAGGATTAACAACAACAAAAATGATAAAAGATCATGAGACAACTGATGAATGTAGTTCTAGATCCTGCCCTTTATGTTCTTGAGCAAAACTGCACTTATGCCCTCACATTAATTCCTTTCAATTCAACTTACTGTGCTCTACCACATGGCACTTCGTGTATAGTATTTTGTTTTTCTCTTCAGTTCCCTGTGAAACAATACCACACATTTGAGAAACAGCATTGCATAGGGATTAAGAGCTCAGAATTCTGGATCTAAACTGCCTGAGTCAGAGTTCTGGCTCTGTCACTTCAGAGGTATGTGATCTTCAGAAAAAAAAAATAACCTCCCTGACATAATCTCCCTCAGTTGCTCTATCTGTAAAACCAGATGACAATAACAGCGCCTACCTGACAATAACAGTGCCTATCTCTCATAGGGTGGTTACAAGGATTAAATGGGCCTGCACACCCAAAACACTGTGGTTCCAAAACCCAGGCCACACACATGCCACTGATTGGGTTGTGGGCAGCAGTATATTTTGGAAGGTTCCAATGTGCAGACAAGTTTAGAAAGCAGTAGGTTAAAATAATCTGCCTGCTGGTTTTGAGCCTTCGGTGGACACTTCTGGAATTACTAAGCCTCTGGTTCCCCCAAATCCCTGGTCGTCAGACCCTAGTTTACTGGGCACCGGCCTCCCCTAGATCCAGGGACCGCTGGGCACCTAAGCCTAGGCCAGTGTACGCTGGGACTTGTAGTCGCGTTGGCTCACCGGCCGGGTACCCACCTCCCATTGGCTTTCGCGGACGCCCTGCCCGAAGCTTCACCAATCGGCGCGGCGCAATTGGCTCTCAAAAGGGAGACGGAGGGCACAGCACCGCAATCACTGCAGGGCGAACGCCAGGAGGTGGCTGGTCTGAGGCTGCGCGCCGCCAGGGGTTCCCACGGTCGTGCCGCCGACATCGCTGTCGCCGCCGCGGTGAACCGCCGCAGGTAACGTCCGGGGCCCGAGCCGCGTGCCTGCCGAGGCTTTTGGCCTCACGGCCGGGGTTTAAGATACCCCGGCCCTTTCTGAGTGATCGTTTCCCACCCTTCGAAGGAGAATTTCTGAAAACGACCAATCTCTAGGAAAAACTCTGCGACTTCTCAGTCCGCCATCCTGTGGGGGAGGGGTGGGCGTGGTGGGCTCGCTCCTGCGCGTGCTCTGGCTGGAAGCCCGGGCTCCTCCTCCAGGAGCCGAGAGTGACCGGCGCGAGAGGGCATTTGCTGAGGTTCTGCAGCCAGCGAAGGCCGGCGTGGTCTGGGGCTTGGTTCCGACCTTCCCAGTCTAGGAACAATTCAGGCTGTTGGTGCTTTTCATGTGAGCATTGCACCCTTAGTTCTCCGTAGCTTAAGGGGAAGAGCTGTTAAGGACAACAACAAATGTGCCCAGAGCTTGTAGAAACATTCCTTCTCAGAAGGCAGCGAAACTGGTGGGAATTCAGGATGACTCACATCAACCATGGAAGTGAAAGTTAGCTGGTTGTGGTCCCCGGCCCCTCACAGAGTTGGGGGCCTACATGGGTTATTCCATGATGGGAATCTGAGGGCTGAAAGAAGGAACTTTGTATCAGGTATTTATTTTTATGGATGAAGACAAATGTCCAAGGTTTGAGACCTGCCTTGCAGTGTGTAGTGAATGGAGTAGCCCAGCTTTCTTTAGTTAGCAAACATTTATTGAACTTTACTAAGCTTTTCGAGCTGGGATTATTTTGTAAAGAGGGGAGGTAGTCTACAGGGAACCATTCCGGTGTGACAAGGGCAAGGGTACAGGTTTGCGGAGGGGCAGCATTAACCCTATGGGAAGCAGTAGAACTTTGCTGGGAAGGGGATGCTTGAATGGAGTTTGAGGGACGGGCAGGAGCTAGTGAGATGAAGAAGAATGTTTCAGCTGGAAAACGGCATGGTGAAGGCATGGAAAGAGTACCGATTTGGGAGGTGGAGTCCTGGAGCCTGATGGAGCAAGGGGTTTCATGTGGGTAGTGAATTTCATGAGCCATGAGAATAGAGGGGTGTATCTTGCAGGGCCTCCTGTGCTGCTGCTGTTAAGAGATTTGGATTTTGTTCTGCAGGCTGAATTCAACATATGTGTGTCTTAGATACGCTGTAGTGTAGAAAAGCATTGGACAGCTAGCAGCCACTCTAGGGAGCTCATTGCACTAATTCCCAGGAGAATTGTGAGGGTTTTAAAGAGTCGCAGTGGGAAGGGAGAGGAGAGAAGAGTTGTGAATTGGTAGGGACGTGGAATACACCATACCCAGTATTGTTCAGTAAAAATATATCGAAGAGAACTCTGTTCCTTAAATTTCCAACTTATGACTGTTAAGGAAAAGCTCAGCTTTTTTTTTTTTTTTAAACTGCAGAAGTTGCTTTGTAGATGGTAATTGAATACCAGTTTATGATGGGAAAATTGTCACATGTATCAAAGGTGTTGAAATCAGAATGATTAAACATATAAGACTCTTATAACCCAGTAAATGCACATTAGACCCATAATTAGATAACTTTATATCCATCAGATTAGAAATAATAGTTTGAAGAGGGGCAAGGTGGCAGATGCTGCAGAGGGTGTTTTGTGGCCAGCAGGACCCTCCACTGCCCCAGTTTCGTTCAGCTGCATTCTCATAGCTGCTGGAAGACAGCTGGCAGACCCGGGAGACAGCCTGGGTGTGGCTTCAGAAGAGAAGGATTTTTTTTCTTTTTTCAAAATTGATTTATAGTCCTGGACGGTTTGGTTCAGCGGTTAGAGCGTCGGCCTGCAGACCAGAGAGGCCCGGGTATGATTCCCACAAAGGGCACGTACCTCAGTTGCAGTTTGTCCCCGCCCGGGTTGGTGTGGTGTGGGTGGTGACCACTCGATGTGTCTCTCTCACATCGATGTTTCTCTCTCTCTTCCTCCTTCTCTCTCTCTCACTCTTTCTGAAGATAAATGCAAAAAAGAATATCCTCAGGTGAGGATTTAAAAAAAGGATTTACAGATAGAGATAGGGAGAAGGAAAGTGAGAAACATCCATGTGAGAGAAATTTTGACTGGTTGCCTTCTGTACACACCCTGACTAGGGATTGAACCCCCAAACTGGACATGTGCCCTGACTGGGAATTGAACTGGTAACCTTTGGGTACATGGTACAGTGCTCAACCAACTGAGCCACACTGGCCAGGGCAAGAGAAGGATTTCTTGAAGATTGTGGAAGGAAGGAAATTGCGGAGTGTTAATCCCTCCGAAGCCCCCAAGGAACTCATCATCCCTTAGATCCAGAATGGACCTGGAAGGCTGCTACCAACCCAGGCCACAGGTACTGAGGCCGTGGTGGATGGGGTGCTGTTGCAGGCTGTGAAGATCATTGAGGACTCCAAGAAGTCTCTGGAGGAGAAAGAGAATGAGGGTGTTGACCCCATGCTCGCTATCCCCATGATCCAGAACAGATGCATACCCAATGGGGAAGGGACAGACTTAACCTGGGGCTGAGACAGTACCCAAGGATGCCAATTACAAGTCAGTCTCCGTGGAGGCCTCTAGGCTGGCCATCTTGGTGGGGGGGGGGGGGGGGGAGCTGGAAACCTGGCCAGGGCATTGGCCTCACTTTAATCAAGTGGTGAAGCCCCATGTCAACTCATTGAGGCCTAAAGGGCGCCAACCTGACTGAGATCCGGGCCGTGGCCCCTACTGGTCCTCTCTGCCTGCTGAGGCCAGATGAGCAAGAGAAGGATAAGGAAGGCAAGCTTCAAGGACTGGTACCTGGAGGAGCTGTGGCGATTCTTCCCGGCCCTTACTGAGGCCTCTATGGGAAGGTGGAAGGCCTCGATCCTGACAGTGTTTGGGCCATGGTTTGTTTGGCCACGGGGAGCTGCATGGTGACTGTTAATACTGCTTATGGCCTGTCTCCCAGCAGGAATTTAACAAGAACTCCTTGGATCTCAGCCAGGTGAGCAAAACTTCTCCAGGTCAATAGAACTGAACAGTTTTGTCGTGCCCCACTTGGTGGGAAGAATAAGAGGAGACCAACAAGATGAGCCTACAGGAGTGAAATAGCAGCCTTCAGGAGTCAGCAGTGGTTGTACAAGGACCTGCATGTGCAGTTTGTGGACAGACTGCACAGGGGTGGCCAGCATTACAATACCAAGATGACAATCGAAGATGTCCTCAGGCCAGATACTTGTGTATGTTGGACTGATGAAGGCCAGGTCCTGGACGGCATCAGGGAAGACATGCTGGAGACCCTTGTCCCCAAAGTCCAGGGCAATGTGGTGATGGTGGTACTGGGCTTACAGGCTGGAAGGGTGGGCCATCTGCTGGGCCGGGACAGTGCAGAGCCAGGCTGTCGTTCACCTGCAGAGAGAGAATTGGCCGGTGGAGCTTCACCATGATGCTATCTGCGAGTACGTGGGCCCCTGCCACTCAGATGAAGTCTGACCAATGGGCCCACTCCGTTCCCCAGGCAGTTACCAGTTCTGCAGTGTGAAAAGCCCAGCTTTGTGAAGGTGGGGAGGTCATTGTTCCGTCCTGCTCTTGCCATGCAGCCCTGGGACAGGGATGGCGCAAGATGGGTAGACCAGAAGAGATCTAGAAACAAACTGAGTGTTTACCAGCAGTTAGTATAAACTAAAAACAGTTAAAAAAGAAAAAGGTAAAGATACTATCAAGAGATGATAATGCCTGGCTGGTGTGTCTTAGTGGTTGAGCGTCGGCCCATGCACAAAGAGGTTGCCGGTTCGACTCCCAGTCAGGGCATATGCCCAGGTTGTGGGCCCAATCCCTGGGGGGGGCGGTATGCAGAAGGTGGCCAGTAGATGTTCTTTCTCATCGATGTTTATATCAATCTCCCTCTCCCTTCCTCTCTAAAATTAATAAAGAAAAAAATATTAAAAAAAAAAAGATGATAGGTATTTGAGAAAAGGATTCACTACTACTAGTGGAAGGTAGTGTAACTTAGAACACTATTGCTACTAGCAAAATGGGTATATCTTAAGACTTAGTGGTTCTTCTTCTAGAAAGTAGCCTAGAGAAACAGACATTTATATACAAGGAGAGGAGTATTAGGATGTTTATCGCAACATCATTTGTAATGGTTAAAAAGATTGAAACAGCCTAATGCCTATTAGTAGGGGATTTTTTATAAAGTGGATATATATGTTTTTTAGAAGTATAATAAATTGATTGGAAAGAAATGCTAACTTACTATAGAGGTTACCTTGTGGTTTGGGGAGAATGGGACAGGACGGGGGAAAATTCCATCTGTAATGTTTTGTTTGTTTTATGGGAAGAGATGTTGTGGCATGAGAGAACCTAGAAACCACCAGAGCCGAATCAAAGCCAAATAGAGAGCATAGCCGGCCGGCCACTGATCCCGAGTTCTCCAGGGGAGAGTTTTTCCAGAGATCAGCCCCGACTTTCAGTTACATTTCTATTTTACAGGGGGCTTGTTTCACACTTCTGCATCTGGCATTTCCTGATGGCCCTGGGGGAGAGCAAGCAAGTAGGAAGCAGAGGCAGCGGGAGGGAGCGGCGTCAGCACACATCTATGGTCAGGGTTGTCCTGCTGTTCACTCTGTGTTCTAAGTTCTAAAACACAAGAAGTTCATGTAGAGGACAGCCAGGCCAGCTGGCATTTCCTCAATTTGTCCCTGAAAGGTCCACAGTTGGCCTTTTGTATTCGTCAGTCGGGGCGAGGTGGGACAAGCAGGCCAGCGCAGACAGACTTGACAGATTTACAAAATAGTAACCGGGGATGGCTTGCGTGATAGGTAACAGGTGTTTTATGTTATATTTTGTACATTTCTGTAGTTCTGTATCTACCCTTCACTTTCTTGGAACAAAATTTAACTTTATTAACATGTAGCTATAAAAGTCATTTGGGGAAAAGACTATAAACTACATTGATACCAGGTTTCAAAAATAGTAATTTGGGTAAAAGAAATTCAAGTGTTAAATAAGAAGAGAAAATAAAAATATAGAAACACCATTAACCATTGGCCAATCTTACTTGGCTAGATTTCTAAATTCTTCTAACCATTAGTAGATTTAAAAATGAATTTTTGCCCTGGTCAAGTGGCTCAGTTGGTTGGAGCATTGTCCCATACAACAAAAGGTTTTGGGTTCGATTCTTGTTCAGGGCACATGCCTAGGTTTCAGGTTCAGGTCGGGGTTTGCAGGGGTGGGGAGGGGCAATGGATCAATGTTTCTCTCTCTTTTCTTTCTCTCTAAAATCAATGAAAACATCCTCAGATGAGGATTTTTTTAAAAAATGAATTTTTGACTGTGTCTATTTGCTTATACCGTTTATGTTAAAAGGCAATTTTTTTTAAAGGTAAAGTCATCACTCTATACAGATATAAAAGTGAGCAAGTGTTAAAGGTTGTATTTAACTCATTAATGAGGAAACTTAGTGAGGTGTTACAACCAGTTCAAAGGACATTCCAAAGTACAGACACTTCTGTTGGTCTGAAATAGTGAAATGAATGTGCAAATGGAGGCAAAACTGGCTGATTTCTACAGTGAGGGAAGTCGCTCGATCCTCCACGTGATAGAATTAATTCCAATGTCTTTGGGCAAGAATTATTTGCATTGTTGTTA